TATTTGGAAGGCCATATAATTTACCTTAAATTAGGATAGACTCTTGAATTTTGAAAGAGTCAAAATAGGATGAACGGATCATATAAACCCGAAGGCAAATATAATACAAGCCCAAACGAAAAAATATAAACAAGTCTAAATTGAAAACAACGTTCAAACCTATGATTGCGTTGGATAAAAACCGCAATTTTTATACGTGTGCAAGCAAAACAAATTTCTTGGTAGAGGGGTCTAAATACAGCACAAACAACATTTTCCAAAAGACCAAATGAGTGAAAAAGTATATTTTAACAAAACGCATTTGACTAGCAGGTCGAACAACTGATGTTCTTAAACCCTGCTGACTGCCATTGGCGAATGCCAAATAAACGGATCACAAGATGTAACAAAATAGATCTAATCATTAATTTATTACCAAACAGAAAACAATAAACTTGCGGAAAAGATGGTATACTGCAAACATGAGGTGCAAAAATGTGTACACCATATCCGGATTTCGACAATAAATGTCTCTTCAGTGATGTGAGGAATCGGAACGGTATTTGGAAGGCCAAAAAATTACCTCAATTTAGGATAGACTCTTGAATTTTGAAAGAGTCAAATAGGATGAACGGATCATATAAACCCGAAGGCAAATATAATACAAGCCCAAACGAAAAAATATAAAATAGTCTAAATTGAAAACAACGTTCAAACCTATGATTGCGTTGGATAAAAACCGCAATTTTTATACGTGTGCAAGCAAAACAAATTTCTTGGTAGAGGGGTCTAAATACAGCACAAACAACATTTTCCAAAAGACCAAATGAGTGAAAAAGTATATTTTAACAAAACGCATTTGACTAGCAGGTCGAACAACTGATGTTCTTAAACCCTGCTGACTGCCATTGGCGAATGCCAAATAAACGGATCACAAGATGTAACAAAATAGATCTAATCATTAATTTATTACCAAACAGAAAACAATAAAGTTGCGGAAAAGATGGTATACTGCAAACATGAGGTGCAAAAATGTGTACACCATATCCGGATTTCGACAATAAATGTCTCTTCAGTGATGTGAGGAATCGGAACGGTATTTGGAAGGCCAAAAAATTACCTCAATTTAGGATAGACTCTTGAATTTTGAAAGAGTCAAATAGGATGAACGGATCATATAAACCCGAAGGCAAATATAATACAAGCCCAAACGAAAAAATATAAACAAGTCTAAATTGAAAACAACGTTCAAACCTATGATTGCGTTGGATAAAAATCGCAATTTTTATACGTGTGCATGCAAAACAAATTTCTTGGTAGAGGGGTCTAAATACAGCACAAACAACATTTTCCAAAAGACCAAATGAGTGAAAAAGTATATTTTAACAAAACGCATATGACTAGCAGGTCGAACAACTGATGTTCCTAAACCCTGCTGACTGCCATTTGCGATTGCCAAATAAACGGATCACAAGATGTAACAAAATAGATCTTATCATTATGTTATTACCAAACAGAAAACAATAAACTTGCGGAAAAGATGGTATACCGCAAACATGAGGTGCAAAAATGTGTACACCATATCCGGATTTCGACAATTAATGTCTCTTCAGTGATGTGAGGAATCGAAACGGTATTTGGAAGGCCATATAATTTACCTCAATTTAGGATAGACTCTTGAATTTTGAAAGAGTCAAAATAGGATGAACGGATCATATAAACCTAAAGGCAAATATAATACAAGCCCAAACGAAAAAATATAAACAAGTCTAAGTTAAAAACAACGTTCAAACCTATGATTGCGTTGGATAAAAACCGCAATATTTATACGTGTGCATGCAAAACGAATTTCTTGGTAGAGGGGTCTAAATACAGCACAAACAACATTTTCCAAAAGACCAAATGTGTGAAAAAGTATATATTAACAAAACGCATTTGACTAGCAGGTCGAACAACTGATGTTCTTAAACCCTGCTGACTGCCATTGGCGATTGCCAAAGAAACGGATCACAAGATGTAACAAAATAGATCTAATCATTAATTTATTACCAAACAGAAAACAATAAACTTGCGGAAAAGATGGTATACCGCAAACATGAGGTGCAAAAATGTGTACACCATATCCGGATTTCGACAATTAATGTCTCTTCAGTGATGTGAGGAATCGGAACGGTATTTGGAAGGCCATATAATTTACCTTAAATTAGGATAGACTCTTGAATTTTGAAAGAGTCAAAATAGGATGAACGGATCATATAAACCCGAAGGCAAATATAATACAAGCCCAAACGAAAAAATATAAACAAGTCTAAATTGAAAACAACGTTCAAACCTATGATTGCGTTGGATAAAAACCGCAATTTTTATACGTGTGCAAGCAAAACAAATTTCTTGGTAGAGGGGTCTAAATACAGCACAAACAACATTTTCCAAAAGACCAAATGAGTGAAAAAGTATATTTTAACAAAACGCATTTGACTAGCAGGTCGAACAACTGATGTTCTTAAACCCTGCTGACTGCCATTGGCGAATGCCAAATAAACGGATCACAAGATGTAACAAAATAGATCTAATCATTAATTTATTACCAAACAGAAAACAATAAAGTTGCGGAAAAGATGGTATACTGCAAACATGAGGTGCAAAAATGTGTACACCATATCCGGATTTCGACAATAAATGTCTCTTCAGTGATGTGAGGAATCGGAACGGTATTTGGAAGGCCAAAAAATTACCTCAATTTAGGATAGACTCTTGAATTTTGAAAGAGTCAAATAGGATGAACGGATCATATAAACCCGAAGGCAAATATAATACAAGCCCAAACGAAAAAATATAAACAAGTCTAAATTGAAAACAACGTTCAAACCTATGATTGCGTTGGATAAAAACCGCAATATTTATACGTGTACATGCAAAACAAATTTCTTGGTAGAGGGGTCTAAATACAGCACAAACAACATTGTCGAAAAGACCAAATGAGTGAAAAAGTATATTTTAACAAAACGCATTTGACTAGCAGGTCGAACAATATATGTTTATATATATACATGCAGAGTGCTACCTTTTTTGAAAGCCTTCCTGTCAATACTTTTTAAAGAAATTACCTATTTGTGTCACATGCACCACACACGACACTTCGGTCAAATACAATACAAAACAGTGGAGATTAGTATTAAAATATCTAATAACGTCAAAGGTAATCAAACTAAAAATATTTTATAATGCATATTCTATAAAGCATGTATAAGTCAAGTATGCAATATCTAAACTCAATTATAACAAAGAGGGTAACGAATACATTACTTCTTCACAAAAAGTGACTCACAACATTATACTTGACAACGACGAAAACATAATAACAATCATTGTCGTCTGTAGTGATAGCAATTTGAATACGTTATGCATGCATACCATGGACTGGAAATCAAAAGGTTAAACCCTGAATATGAAATCGACGGTTAATTGCTACAATTTTAAATCGTTTAAATCGTATAATATAAAGCTGTCACAAGGATAATAAGGCTTTATTCTGACTGAACTCTTAACATTGTATCTTAGAGCGGCAAGAGATATAAAAGGGATATTTGAACACTAAAATCGAAAAACCAAACTGACAACAAATTGGAAGAAAAAAATGAAAATTAAACAAAAGAAAGAAAAATTTAGTACACAAAACACAACATAATAAGAATTCATAAATCATTGCGATATTCAATTGCCTCACGAAATTGCCTCGACACATTTAATCTTATTTCACATAGTTAACTTCTTTAAGTTATACTTAACCATTAAATTAAATACGACTGAAATTTCATGATCAATAATCAGTCAAATTGAAAAGGTACTTTTTCAGACATTATTTGCTGAAAGATGTTCCCCCATTTAGAAATAATAGTTTTACAACTCGTTTCTAGATTAAATTTTCAACCACTGTCCAAGCAATTTTCTTAGGAATGTAAAGGCATATTTATTTTCATTCATGAACAACATTATTTTGACAATCATTATGGGTTCTTTTAATAATGGAAGTTAAATCATTATGACTGATAAAATTGAATGAAATTTCACTGTCTTCATATATACAGTTTCACAATAGTAATACAATAAATATAAAAAAACGACAGAATAATTTTTCATCTCTTCGGCTGTATTCTTAGTAGTAGCTTACACCACGGACACCTTTTTTATAACGTTCTCTCTTAGCAATTGTTTTAGGTAAAGAACTATTTTGTTACTTTTATACGTAAAACCAATAATGTTATTTAGCAACAAATGTTGCTGTGTTATCTCAACATATAAACAACTGATGAATTCAGATCTTTGATAACAAAATCTTTATAGGTTGTTATATTTTTTCAAATTTGTTTCAAAAGTATGATTATGATCATTAAATTGAAATATAAAGCGATACAATTGATCACTTCAACACGTTTTAATTTCTGTAAATTTTTAAGTAGAAGCAAAGTTGACTTATCAAAGTATATGCTTATAAAATAAATGTACACAAATTGCCTTTTCATTTATTGTGAAAATACAAGTGACGAGAAAATTCTGATCATTTTCAAAATGAACATTTCTAGTCTGAATCAGTGTAAATAATGACCCATTTTCTCTTGCAAGTATTTTTCTGAAGTTAAAATCAAATGTGATTACATTTCGTATTATGTCCAACTTTGACGTTATTCGATATATGACGTCACGCTATCATGTGATACGAGATATGCGATACAGGATAGATGATACAGATTAGAGAACAGAACCTATCAAATATTCAACAAATCAGTTCTAAATATATGACAAATGTAAGTATATGCTCACTGCATGCTACAATAATTCATTGCTCACTGATGGCGTCGTTATTCTCTTTGAATTGTTTCCATAGCTCCATTTAATAATTTTCCTGATCACTAATCTATGTGGTTATGCATCTATACCTTTTAATACAAGATAATTAGCGGTACCTTGACCGCAATTCTTTGTCATTTGGCTTAACGTATTTTTTTAAAGATATTCACTTATTATTTGTAAATATTCATTGTGTCCGTCTTACGATTCCTTTGCATCCAGTTCGTAATCGTTGTACATGCATCTGCTCCGTTCTGTACCAGCATATGATATATTTCTGTATGAAATGATTTCAAAGCAACAAGCAAAGGAGATAATCCATCATCTGTACACTTATTTAAATCTGCTTTGTTGTCTAGTAGTATTTGTACTATTTCTTTATGATTCTGCTGACAGGCTATAAACAAAGGAGATGCTCCATCATATGCACATTTATTAATATCTGCCTTTTTGTCTAGTAATAACTTCACTGTTTCCACATGATTATGTAGGCACGCAACAAACAAAAGAGATGTTCCGTTATTTTCGCTCTTATTAATGTCAGCCTTATTATCCAGTAAAACCCTAACTATCTCTATATTATTATCCCGGCAAGCAATTAACAAAGGAAATGATCCATTATCTGCACTTGTATTAACGTCTGCCTTATTGTCCACTAGTAACTTCACTATCGCTATATGATTATTCTGGCAAGCAACAATTAAAGGCGATGATCCATCGACTGCAGCCTTATTAACATCTGCCATGTTGTCCAGTAATACCTGAACTATCTCTATATGATTATCAAAACAGGCGGTATACAAAGCAGATATGCCTTCATGTCTACACTTATTAATGTCTGCGTTGTTGTTCAGTAATATCTTTACTACCTCCATATGATTTTTCTTACAAGCAATATGCAATGGAGATGTTCCATCAAGTGCAGCAATATTAATATCTGCCTTGTAGTCCAGTAATACTTGTACTATTTCTATATGGTTGTTTAAACAAGCAAAATACAAAGGAGATGCTCCTGAATCGATTCTATTAATGTCCGCCTTGTTGTCCAGCAATAATTTAACTATCTCTGAATTGTTGTCTATACACGCGATTAACAAAGGAGATATTTTTTTATTATCACAATTTGTCATATCTGCTTTGTGCTCGAGTAATATCTTTACTACTTCGAAATGATTCATGTGACAAGCTATGAACAATGGAGATACATTATGCTTTGCACATTGATTAACGTCTGCCTTGTTCTCAATTAATACCTTTACAAGTTCTACATAATTCTTTAAACAAGCAACAAACAAGGGAGATTCTCCAATATTGTCACACTTATGTATGTCCGCATTGTTGTCCAGTAATAGTTGAATCATCTGTTTATGATTATTCTCGCATGCAACTATCAAAGGTGTTTCTCCGCTATATGCACACCTATTCATGTCTGCATTGTTGTCTAGTAATAACTTAACTATCTCCACAAAATTCTGCTGACAAGCAATAAACAAAGGCGATGCAAAGTTACCTGTACCTTTATCAATATGTGCGTTGTTGTGTAGTAATACTTTTGCTATTTCTAAATTATTATTCTGACAAGCAATATACAAAGGAGATAATCCATCATCTGTACACTTGTTAATGTCTGCTTTGTTGTCCAGTAATACCTTTACTATCTCTATATGATTATTCTGACAAGCAATAAACAAGGGAGATGCTCCATCATCTGTACACCTATCAATGTCTGCATTGTTGTCAAGTAATACCTTTGCTATCTCTATATGATTTTTAAGGCAAGCTATAAATAAAGGAGTTTGTCCATGTCCTGCACACTTACTCATGTCTGCATTGTTGAGCAATAATAATTTTGTTATAGATACATGATTTTCCTGACAGGCATAATACAAGGGAGTTTTTCCGTCATTTCTACAAATTGTAACGTCTGCTTGATTGAAAAGTAATAGTTTTACAATCTCGATAAGATTCTCTCGACAGGCAACAAATAAAGGAGATGTCCCATCTGCTGCTTGCAAATTAGTGTCTGCCTTGTTATCTAGTAACAGTTTTACTATCTCTTTATGATTTTTTTGACAGGCAACGGACAAGGGAGATAGTCCATCATCTCTGCATTTATTGATATCTGCCTCGTTGTCTATTAATATCTGTACTATTTCTTTATGATTCTTCTGACAAGCAATAAACAAAGGGGATTCCCCAGAATCCTTACGTTCATCAAAACTTTCATCATCAAAATAATGCATTATAGAATAAGATGTCTTGCGTGTACATTTATTGATATTTGCCTTGTTTTCAAGTAAAATTTTCACTATATCTATGTGATTCATCTCACATGCTAAAAACAAAGGAGATGCTCCATAAAAGTCACATTTATGGATGTCTGCCTTTTTCTTTAGTAAATCTGTAACTACTCCTATATGACCTTTTTTGGCTGATATACACAAAGGACTCTCATTATTTGAGTTGCACTTGTTCACATCGAGACCGTGCGTTATGCACCAATCGATGAAAGGAACAAAATCGAACCTACAAAATTGTAACATGACAGAATTGTCGTAAAAACCATAGGGTTGAGCTATTTTTTGTTGAAATGAAATATCAAGTGTATTCAAATGGTTTAAGAATCTTTGTCTAAACGCTGGTGTTTTCATATTGATGTTATGAAACACACACGATAATATACCAGCAGACCAGTCCTTAATCATTCTTTCTATGTACATATAATGATATTCTAGCGGTACAACAGTGATAAGCTGATCCTCGTCATCTCTTTTGTCTAACAGTAATCTTTTGGAAATAACCCAACTATCTGCATTTTTAATTAAAAACTGAATCATTTTTCGTCCAAAATAGAAAACCAAGATGTCAAATATTTTATCATGTATAGTTCTGTAAAATCCATATTTTTTCTTTATAAAAGTATGTTCAAGTGACTCAATTTTATTTAGAAGGATAAGTCGAGATGTTCCTCTGGAAAGTCTACACGCCTCACATGTGTTTTCTATTATTGTTCTTATTTTTTCATCTATATCCTGTGTAAACAATTGCTCAAACAGTATGTTGTTAAACATAACACACAAAGCCAAAGCACAATACTTTCCAATATCTTCAATTTCAAGTTTTTCAATCTCTACTTCATACACTGCAAATGGATTCCTAAAAAAATCGGAAGCATTAAATTCAGGATTATCTTTATATAGTTTACAGAGAAGTGGAAAACAATCATATAAATCACAGTACTGAATAATCTCTGAAGCCTCTGTTTCCAGGTATAACTCTGCTATGGACTGCTTCTCTGTTTGTGTTAAACACAAATCTTCTGATAGCAGGTTACAAACACATGTCGTGAAAATATGTAATAATGTAAACTGCTTGTCTTGATACACTTGGATCCGACAAGCCACAATAACTTTTGTGAGTTTATTTTGAATCAGTTCGGTTATCCGTTCAATGACAGAATTCCAACTGTTAAAGCCATACGGGTTTAGATAATGAGTTCCACAAAAGTCATCTATAACAAACAACTGTTTCTGATTTGGATTGTAAAACTTAATAATGTCATTTGGGTTTATTATGGGAAGTATATCATATCCTTCATCTGCCAATTTAAATGCCACAAAATGTAGAGTTGCTGTTTTCCCAACACCAAAACTAGCAACAATAGTAACACAGCTGTTCTCTTGTACTGATTTTAGAACATGTTTGGCACCCCTGGTATCAACAAAGATTGAAGGATCCATTTTCCACTCTTCCAATTCTTCATCAATTTGTTCTGAAATGTAATTTAGCAATTTATTCAAGTTATAATAATTTGCAATTTGCACTCAAAGCTTTTTATGCATATCGTGTTATATAACGAAACTTGATTTTTGATTGGCTTACATGTGTTGGCTGCAAAATTTAACCAAACAATAATCAACTCTTTTCCTTGGATCAGTTGTTCGCATTTGGAACTGTGGAAAAATATCCAATCAGATTAAATGCAATGTATTCCTATTTACCAGACAAAAGTGCATTTCAGCCTTGTTCCCAGTATATAAAAAATATAATAAAAGGAGGGAAGATTTAAAACAAACCACACTAACGCTTTATAATAAAAAAAAAGTATGTTGAAAAAGTTCTGTCTTCAAACCGAATATACCGTTCATCATTCTGAGACTCTTTGTCACTTTTCCTCTTATATCTTGTAGTTCGTTACTGTGTGTGTTGCATTGTCGTTTGTTTTTTGTTCACTTCAGTGTTTCTGTTGTTTCGTTGTTTTCCTCTTATATTTGATGTGTTTCCCTCGGTTCTGGTTTGTAACCCGGATTTGTTTTTGTCTAAATCGATTTTTGACTTTCGAACAGCGGTATACTACTGTTGCCTTTATTCCGCTCGTCTAGTATCAAAGCATAAAAAATATGCTTCATTGCACAATGTCATGTTTTCTCTGACTATTTATGACGTCTTTACACTAAATCCATTGGATGTTGTACTGATTGATAAGTTAGTCTTAGATGCATGAATTGTTTAGTAGTTGTTATTGGCCTTGAACTAGCTGGCAGTAACTGCGAGTACTCTCAGATCTGTGCGAAGTGTCTTTTTGTTGTTAGGATGTTCAAGTACCCGTCCACGTCCACTCTGTGTTTTTGTTGGATATACTTCTATTTGTATCCATCTGATGAGTTAAGCCTTTTCCACCTGATTTGTATAGTTAGTTTTTATGTTGTACTGTTACACCACTGTCCAGTTTAGATGGAGGGTTTGCACCTTCAAACTAGTTTAACCCTGCCATATTCGTCATGTGCCTGTCCCAAGTTTGGAACCTGCAATTCAGTGGTTGTCGTGTGTTGCTGTGTTTCATATTTGTTTTTCGTTCATTATTTTTTACATAAATTGGACCATAATTTTACTCGTTTGAATTGTTTTACTACTTTTTGTATACTACTGTTGCCTTTATTTACATTTGTCATTTCGGGTCCTTTTATAGCTGACTATGCGGTATGGGCTTTGCTCATTGTTGTAGGCCGTACGGTTACCTATATTTGTTAATTTCTGTGTCATTTGGTCTATTGTGGAGAGTTGTCTCATTGGCAATAATACCACATCACCTATTTATATTCAATACAAGATATATTCTCTGCAGAAACAGCAATTGATAGAGAGGAAGTGTAAACCTGACAAAAATACTTTAGATGACGCTTTCGGTGAGCTCTATCCGATGAGAAGCTAAATTAAAAATGAAAATAACACGTTATAAATTTCATGCGCTTTTCTTGATTTACCTTCATCAGGAACGCTCAAAGCCGAATAATTGAACGCAAAGGATGTGTAAGTACCGGAAACGTTGAAGAGCTATAAACCAAAAAGGACCGAAAATAGCAAAATCCATCTAAGGCCAACTTTGCCTGAGGTAGTTGAAACCTTAGCTTCTGTATAATTTCAAAATTTATAACAGGGCAGTTTTTATATAATTTGTTATAAATCATGTCCGTACCGAAGTACTGACTACTGAGCTGACGATACCCTCGGGGACTGATAGTCCACCAGCAGACGTATCGACTAAGTGCTGCAAAAAATGAAAACAACACGTTATAAGTTGCATGCGTCCGAAGCGCTTTTCTGGTTTACCTTCATCAGGAACGCATAAAGCCGAATATTTGAAAGCCAATGATGTATAAGGACCAAAACCGTTAAAAAGTTAACATTATACAGTTATTAAAGATGCATATCGGAAGCTAGTTCATGAAATACAAATTTGATATCAACACCTTAAGAAAATTTCTTTAAAAAATGCATTTCAATAAAGAAAAGTCAAACAAAATAAATGCAAATAAAATTTTAACACTACTGTTTGGAAAGTAGAGGAAATATTACTGGTTAAACATTGTAAGGGATCGTAAATCCGATTTCTGTGAGTCGTAAACGTAATAAATTATTTTCATAAGCTTCATAATTGTAGTCAACAATTTGATTGACCGACTTTTAAACTTTCGGTTATTTTCAAGCTTTTTCCTTACTTTTGCATACGCTTATATGTTGCTGACTGTTCAAATAATTCTTACCTCTTCTGTTCCAGGGTACTGTAAACATGTCTAAAAGTTTTGTTTTAAGCTGAGCACATTCACCTAGCATGTCTTGACCCCCTAATCTTCCTACAGCCTGTAAAGAATTTAAACATTTCACTTCTAACCAGTTAAAGTCGAAAATGTGCAGTTTTAGTACTCATTTGCATTGCTTTTTCCGCGACCATTTTGAATTGGTGTGAATTGTACTCAATATTCCTCAACTGCAGTCGAAACCATACTCAAGAGTTTTAACTTGTCTTCACCTTATTTTACTAAGCAAGATAACTATCATTTTTTACAGTCTGAGTCATCCTTTAATTAAATCAGAACCACACTCGACTAATTTTTAACCAAACTCGACAAAGCATGAACCATTCTCGATCATTTACTAGCATTCAGAGTGATAAAATTGGTTGTAACAAATATTTATATAAACATTATGTGTAAGGATATTTAAGTTAATTCCTATTCATGTATACTTTTATTAAGTTTTATTATATTATGCATATTTCAATATTAAGTCTTTTGATTTTTACTATAAAAATTGGTTTTAACAGTAAAATATTTCAACTATGCTGTAAATGTTTCGTTTTGTTTTCCTGTTATCCTTAAAAGTCATGCCACCGATACAAATGCATTTATACAATAATCAATATATTATGTTTATTTTCTTCAATTATTCAAATCTACTCAAACTCTATATACATGTATCTTTATTTTAAACGTAAGATTGTATTATACACTCATATACACCATTTTGCTCCATATATACATAGATAATTGACTTATTGACAAATAAATTATTTTTTTGTAAACTAAATTTGATAAACACTTTGTAAATCTTAATTCCTTTTAATAAACAAATTAAAAATGTTATACCTGTAAATCTATTTAGTTGGAAAGGATTTAAGAAAGGACTTAGGTTAGTTTACCATTGTTATAAATAAACTGCTATCAAAACTCCAATATTAAAATTTATGTAAAAGACAAATGTACTTGAACAAAGTTGTATTTTAGAGGCTTTTTAACAGGATTGATTAATTGAAAGACCGACAATTGGGAGGTCTCTATTTGGGTAATCCTGACACCCCAAGTTGTGTTATGCGACAAGAAAAACATTAAAATATGCATTATCTGACTTATATACAGTAAAAAAAAAGATTTGCAGGATTTGTTTTTTTTTAAGATCACACTAACGAGGGATATTCTCTTCTTATGCATTTAGGTATAAACACGCCCCATGTCTCATTTTACTGTGAAATAAAACTCACTTATTAATCTACATATAACTTTAGAAATCACTGTCCAGTTACAATAAAAATGTAAATGTTATTGCATATAGCAAGCCACTAATGAATTGTTACGAAAAACATGTATCAGCTTGTATAAAAAATCACTTTGTAAGTGTTTTTTTTTTATTATTATTAACTTTATAAAAGGGGATGCTATGTTTTTCTATTGTTTCATGACAATTTTACCGCGGAAAAACAGATCAACTTTTCAATTATTTTCAACGACTTAAAAAAATTGAGAATCAGGACGACATATAACCTCCCGGAAAATGAAATCTGGTAATTTGGTAGAGTAAAAGGTATATATAAATGTAAATAATCATTGATGCACTTGAGACGCGAAAAACTGATCTTCAAGACAATGTGATTCAGTAAGATTATAAATCCTACACACTGAAGCGATAAAATTTGGCTTGTTTTATAAGTGTTATTAAATACTTTGCATTGTCAAAAATACATCTATTTCGCATAATGTTACTTTATTGTAGCGATAAATTCACAAAACTTCTCATTATTTTTTGTTTTTAAGATAAAATGTGCGTTAAACACGTTTTCTGATATTTCAGTCTTATACTTGGAGGAAAGGATTGGATTGTTTTGCCATAAAACCTAGAAATTATGGAAAATTGATAAGGACAACATCAGTTGGCGTTAACAACACTCGATTAATATCAAATGAATAAAAAGTGTTCCATTTTAACCAGGGAATACAATGACCTTATACGGGTCATTATTGTATGCCTTGAAGGACATGTCGTGAAACTTAGTATCGTCCGGGTGGCTAATTCAAAATAATGACCAATCGTTCTAAAATAAAATAACTCCATATAGGTATAAAAGAAATATTAAGTTTTAGATACATTAACCTGTTCAAATTCTTAAACCGGTATAGTTATCAAAAAAAATATTCTTAAAGAAATTTGAAATAAATTATAATTCTTGGAACATTTTGGTACGAAAGGTGTTCATACTGGCTTTGCGAGGAAATATTGGACAAAAAATACTTCTTAAGAATGTTTGCTACTCATATTTTTTACTTTTTGTCAGGTGTTAGGAATCTCTAGTTATCCATAAAAGCTTGTTATTTTGAAACAGAGGAGCGAACATCCCCAACGTAGATTATAAAATAAAAAAAAGGTATTAGCAGAACAATTACAAAACTTTAACTAAAACTACTAAACATTGATCAAAGGAATTTGTAATGAGATAAAACTATTTGATGATGATAGACTACTGAAAGACATTATGAATTATATAGATATGACAGACAAGGAGGAGGCTTTTATTTCTTAGGACTAACCAACTGTTTTTTTTATCAACAATGATTAGAATCGGGTAGATTTATGTTTGATTAAGTTTAAAGTGGAAGTATTTAGAACGATTTGAGTCAAAGATACAAAAACTTGTTTCCTAAAAGAATGATTTTACTCCAAAATGTATTACCATGAGCCGATCTATAATGCATGATTCTCAATTGCTATTTGTTTTGACATTTTGATGTCGATTTGTAACTTGTCGAGTTTAGAGTCTTAATTAAACATATTCGTTGACGACAATAAGTATGAATAGAGAATTCATTGAATACACATTAAACGGACTTGAGTTTAAAGAACGTGACTCGGGATCGAACATACTTTCTAATAAGACAGTTATACTGAGAAAATAGAAAAAATCTAAAATACAATTACTAAAAGCCAGTTTAAGCCCTCGGGGTTTTTCAAGGTTATAACGTTGAAATAGACTCTATGTGGACGGAGCAAATAAATAAAAATAACAATTTCTTTTAAAGTATGGAAAACAAGAGATCTTCCTTGAACAAGTAAATCTAAATTTTTAAAACATTCGTTCTATAAATTACTGGACATATAAATAAAAAATACACAACATATAACAAAATAAGAAACAAAAAATATGTAGGAAATTATAAGAAACGGAAAAAAAATAATTTGCTTGAAACACTTGTTATTTAAAAGAAAAGAATGGTATCAACATGAAAATGTTTGTTAAATTTTTCAAACTCAGCAAATTCAGTTTGCATCAGATCATCAATTAAGATATTGATCAATGGAATGCAATACACATTTTTTTGGTTATATACCTTGCCTTGGAATATAAACCAGAGTATTTCATATGTCAATGTTTCGAATGATGGAAAATATTTGGACCAATGCCTTTTCAAGACATTACAAAAATAAGAGTTGATTGGTTGTCAGGGTTTTTTTTTTAAAAATAAATCAAATGATTAAGTACAAAGTTAATCCTAGTTTGGGAAAGCAATGCTTTCTATTTGTCAACTTCTAATGTCTCAGTAGCGATATACCTCTGCTTCGCTGTATTGAGTTTAAATACATGTATCTCAGTTAATGCGTTACGCACGTTCACACTATAGGGACTTCATTAACAAGTGCGTGCTCCTTACACAAAAGCTACTCTAACAGAGTTATGAGGAAGAAAGACTAAACTCGTCACTACAAAAGTTTTATGGTCACCATCACGAAAAAGGTAAAATAACAAAATAAAACGATCTCCATGTAAAATTCAAAACGGAAAGCCCTTTATCAACTGGAAAAATCAAAATCTCAATAACATCAAACAAATGGAAAACAACTGTCATATTCCTGACTTGGTACAGGCATTTTCTTATAACAGTCTCTTGGATTAATTTGCACTGCTCATGAGTGAAAATTGGAACCACATTTGTTTAACGGTAGAATCATCAAACTTGGCAATAATGTACCTCTAGGGGTAGGTAAAACAATACAATTTTTTTTGCATAGCTCGCCTTGTTCTGTTATACGAGTGAAATCAGTGACAAAATCCTAAAGGATACTTTATTTTCCCATATGATTTTTAAAAATCCTACAGGGTTTTAAGAAATCCTATAGGACAAAATCATCATCCCGTAGGATATTTTTAATATCCTACGGGATATTTAGATCCCTTAGGATTTTTTATCCTTTAGGAGAATTTATCTCCTTCGAGATCAAATTAATATCCTACAGGATTTAAAATCCTGTAGGATTTTCAAAAATAATGTTATATTCTATTGGATTTTTTATGTCCTATAGGATTATCATGAAAGAGTTTTTCTCAGAAACTAATGTACACTAGTATTATATTTTTTCTCCTAAGGGATTTTTTTTTGTCCTGAGGGATTTGTTTCCTCCTATAGAATATTTATATATAAATATATTTAAAATTGAGAATGGAAATGAGGAATATGTCAAAGAGACAACAACCCGACCAAAGAGCAGATAACAGCTGAAGGCCACCAATGGGTCTTCCATGCAGCGAGAAAACCCGCACACGTAGGTGGGCCTCAGCTGGCAATATATAAAAATGTGTACTAGTTCATTTAAAATGGACGTCATACTAAACTATAAAACATATAAATGAACTAAAATTAAAAAACATACAAGACTAACAAACGCCAGAGGCTCCTGACTTGGGACAGGTGCACAATTGTGACTGGGTTAAACATGTGATCTCAACTCTCCCCCTTTACCTCTAGCCAATGAAAAAAAAAGAAACACATAGCAATACGCACAGTAAAACTCAGTTTAAAAGAAGTCCGAGTCCGATGTCAGAATATGTAACAAAAGAAATTAAGCAAAATGACAAAGATACACACACAAAAAAATATTACTAAGTAATTATATTTTACTTAAATTAAGTAATTTACTTATTACTAGGAATTACTTACCAATTACTCAATATTACTAGCAATTACTTATATTTTACTAGATATGACAATAGTTTATTGAATCAAGTAATT